TTTTTTTTTATTTTTTGCCACAGATTTTTTGTTTATTTTAAAAAAATAACCCACCCCACATTTATAGCTTAAAAAAAATTATCATCATCAGCTTTTGTGAAATATATCTTATAAATATGTATGGATTTCCGTATAGCTGTCAGAGACAAGGGCTTTCATAAAGGCAGCAAAACTTGCAGGGCTTTTGCAGTAGGCACCATTAATACATGCACAGTCCGCAACCAGTAGAGAGAGAGAGAGAGAGAGAGAGAGAGACAACAACAAAGTATCTCAAAGTATATCAGTGAATACATGATAGATCAGTTCAAACTTCAAAGTATCTCAAAAATTTTACTATTACTCCCTCCTATTTTTATTATATGTCGTTTTGAGAATTAGCACGTTAATTAAGAACTTTTTTTCTTGTCATTATTAACCATATTTAATAAATGTTATGAGAAACAATAGAGATGTGATATGAAGAGACACTGCATTAAATGGAGGATTAAAAAGGGAAGAATACAAACAAAATAGTCAAAACGATATTTATTTAATCAATGATCAATTAAGCTAGGATGACAAATAATAAAAATAGGAGGATGTATATGTTATTGGGAAAAAGATTTAAAAACAAAATAAAAATAAAATAAAAAAGATGGTGGAGTGAAATAAATACACCTACTCTGCCCTTTAGCATTCAGTGAAAAAAAAAAAAAAATTGAATTTTTTCTCTTTTGAAGTACTCCAAAGATTATTATTATTATTTTATTTATTTAACTTTGTTGATCAAAAGTTTGGGATTTTTGTTGTAATGATGATAGGTAGGTTTCCTTTCACAGCTTCACAATGGGAGGAGCTTGAGCAGCAAGCACTGGTGTTCAAGTACATGGTCTCTGGAGCCCTTGTGCCACCAGATCTCATCTTCACCCTCCAGAGGAGCTTGCAATCTTCTCTTTCCTCCAAAATTCTCCTGCACCAACCACAGAGTACATTTTCCCCACTCTCTCTCTCTCTCTCTCTCATGTCTGCAATTTTTTGGTTCAATTTCTTTATTTTTTTCTTTCTTTTTTTGCTCTTTTTTGGTAGAATTCATGTGAATTTTGGCATGGTTAAATGGGTTTGCTTCTGTTTGTTGAAAAACTTTGTGCTTGTCATTTACATCCCTCAAGAAAAGACTCCATTTTTATACATTGTGTTTTTTTTTTTTTGTTTTACACTAATTTTAGTGTTATATGTTGATTTTTGCTTTGACAATCGGTAAATGGTCTCGTGGGTTTTCGCAAGATCAATTTTTTTCTTCTAAATTGAGAAAAAAAATGCAATATTTTCCCCTCTTTTTGTTTTTCAAATTTGTTGGCTTTTGCTATTTTTGGTAGAGATTAAGAGAATTTTGACATACTTACATGAGTTTTTGTTTGTTATGTTTCTTGAGAGTCTTGTGCTGATGAACATGTCAAATCAATTCAAGAAATGTCTTTATAGTAACCATAAAAAAGACTCCATTTTTTATACCTCTGTTCTTATTTACACGAACTGTAGTTCTTTATGTTGAGTCTGGCTTTGGAAATTGGGTAATAGCCTAATGGGTCTTGGCAAGATCCAATCTTTATCCTCTTAAAGTGAGAAAAGATGCAATCTTTTTCCTCTTTTGCCTTGGAAAAAAAAAATGAAACTTGATTTGTGTCTGCAGTTGGGTGGAGTAACGGGTACGGGTCGAGGAAAATTGACCCGGAGCCGGGTCGTTGCCGGAGAACAGATGGGAAAAAATGGCGGTGCTCGAAAGACACCTACGCAGACTCCAAGTACTGCGAACGCCACATGCATAGAGGCAGAAACCGTTCAAGAAAGCCTGTGGAAATTCAGTCTCCATCTTCGCCACCGGAAAAGATGCCCGGAGTTTTCCCCGTGAGCAGAAACGCACTTTCTTCAGTGCCTTCACAAAGAGGCTTTGTCTACAGTCCACATTTGTCGTCTCAAGAGAGCAGCCACTCCAAATTGTTCTTCGAGTCCACTGATTTCACTCTTTCACCAAACAAAGCTTACAGGTTGGTTCATGTTCATTTTTTATTTGTACTTTCAGATACAATTTGGTGGTTAATTTTGTTAATTATGTGCTTTGTAGTTGGAAAATGTTGCTATGTTCAAGAGCTTGTGCTTTATACTTTTGATTAAATAAAAATGACTAGCCATTAGGATTACAATCTACAAATGCTCTGATCGTCGTAGGCAAACGTCGACGCTTGACTATACTGATTGCAACTTCATGTAAGTATCCAACTTTGTGTAGTTGTCTTGTGCCTAAAGAATTTATATCATTATTGTTGTTGTGGTGGTGAGTATTGAATTGACAATGTGGGTCTAAATTCAGAAAGTTGTTAGTATATATAAACAACTAAATATTTTTTTTGTATAGTGATGCAGTTTGGTGTAATTATGTCTAGGGAGTTTGACAAAATTGCAAAATATGGTTAGTGAATTTGACGTGTGGTGAATTTGTCCTTTAACTTTTGCTATTGTACCAAGCGTTCCCTAAATAACATAACTGCGAACATTTGGCCCCGATCCCGTGAGTTAAGGGACATTTTTGTAGTTAAACAGTGGCTAGTTTTTGAATTCTAGGCATATTGTGTTCGGTTTTTAGGCAAATTTACCATTTGTTCAAAATTATTGTGCACATTGTGTAACCTGTTATTTTTACTATTTCGTTCTTGTTATCGAGTGTTGAACAAAATGGTGTAAAATGCAGAAATATGATGGGAGATGGAATTAAAGAGGAAACTGATAACGAGCATGCATTCTTCTCAATGAAAGATGATGAGCCCTATTACTCTTCTTCTGGGAGGCACAAAAGCCATGAACAACACTATTACAACAACAGAGATGTTAACCTTTTGGGGGTTAATATTGGGAGGAAAAATGATGAGCCCAAGAAAGTTATGCATCATTTTCTTGAAGAGTGTCCACCCAAAGAAGAAGACAAATCATCTTCTAATCGGCCCATTAATTCTGATCTCAGTTTCTCAGTCACCAACAGGAACAACACTCAACTCTCAATTCCTGCACCAAACTCACTTCATGACTTCTTCTTGACCCAAAAATGGTACTAATTCTTTTTTTTTTTTTTTCCAAAAATGGTATATGACGGGTCGACCCGCCTAATAGTTAGTCTACCTCACACAAGAATTTGTTTTTTTTTTTTTTTTAATTATTATTGTTAATTCTCCCCCTTTTCCTTTTGCAGAAAAAGTATGAAGTTGAGGGGATTGAGAAGATTTTGGATTCAAAAGAGCAGAAAGAAAAAGTAATCTTTGATTCTAAAAGTAATACATGTGTGTTGTGGACAGTGAGATTATATGTGTTGGGGAATCATTTGGATTGTGTGTTTTTTGTTATCTTTATCTGCAATGCCATAACATTTGTGTCCTGCTGTGATAATTGTCATTTATTGTATTGTGTTTGAGAGGACTTCTGAAGATTTTGCCACATGATTGTGTACTTTATTTTCTGGTCAGAAGATAAATAGAGACACACCTTTGACCATGTGTTTCTGGCCATTTCTGTGTTAATTAAATCAACTTTCAAAGCACTAATCTATGGCTTTTTTTACAAAGTAAACAGTAGAATATTTGTGAACTTTTGGTTGGTGATGATCTTGTGGAGATTTGCACACTGATCACAATAATCACCAAGGACTGTGTTCATCTTTGTATCCTTTTCGAATCATTATTATAGCGAGGAACAATATTTTTATTTTGGGTTAACTTCATACTACACATGTGGTAATGACTCGACGAGTTTTTTTTACTGTTGGATCAACACATACGCATACGTACATAAGTATGGATATGTGTGTGTAAAAATGTGATTCAACGGTTGAAAAACTCGTGTCGACAATATCTGAGGTTGAAACTTTTGTTCCAAGAGTGCCATCGATTCATATCCTACAAACCTTACTCTTAAGTTTTAGAGGATAGGGTGAAGGATTTCTTGTAGACTTTCGGATTTATTCATGATCGTCCGTGTTTTGGTTGGTATGATTGAAAAAGACTCAGAGAAAGCTACGAATATGATGAAACGGAACTAGAGAGCCTCGATACTAATCATTTGTGTTCATTTTTCACAATTAGCTAGATCTCATATTCATTTACACATTCAAACTCCATGATTCTTCTTGGAGGAAAAATCTTTCGAATTGTGGGCCTTTCTAAACTGCTTTCCAAGATTTTTGAACTAGTTTTCGTTGTTTTTACGACTTTTTAAGATTTTTAAACCAAATTTCTTTGTTCATACAACTGTTTGAAACATTCGCAAAGTTCTTATTGTGGTATGATGCAATTTAAACTTCATAAAGCTAGGGAATCATAGCTTGAAAGACAAGTTTTTTTTTTTTTTTTT